CTATCTTTCATCTATCTTTCACTGGAAGTTATGGTTTGTTATGAAAGAAAAAATTTATTTGTTCAATAGGATGACCATGGTTGCAGTTACATTTTCCTTAATTCGAAACTCAAACCATAAATTATACAGCAAACAGGAGTTTTTCAGTTAGCAACTGAAACTCTGGGGTACAAACTTGAAACATGAATCCTAGTGGGAGCCACCTCCATATTGTGGAAATTGGACAGAATTCCAGAATTGAGATCAATCGGTTTCATGTTCTCGGTACTGAAAAAAATCATTGAAAAACTACTTAACAGGCATACTAAGGACCTTTGTTGCAATGTGGCTGACAATGTTTCATAGGGAATTTCTTCAGTTTGGAACTAATATGATATTATATGATTTGAAATCCCTGAAATAACAGATGAAATTGAAAAATGAAAAAAAACAAAACAATCTAAAAACAATAATTATATATTGAGCAAAACATACTGAAATAGAAATACAAAAAAAATGAAAATTGAGCAAAAATTGACGATTCGACGTTTCGAATTTTATTATCCACAATCGTCTTCGGGTAATGACCATTACATCAACGGGACGGGGTATGTCGACGAAAACGGCTTTATGCCAGGTTACGGAAAGAAAAATATTTATGAGAGAAAAGAAATAATTTTTCATCTGCTTTCTTTGTTATTGACAGCGGGTTTGATGATACGATTTAAGAATCAATTATATATAATAAGAGGAAAATTAATGTCAACGACACAAGCAAAACACACTGAAATAGAAATACAAAAAAAATGAAAATTGAGCAAAAATTGACGATTCGACGTTTCGAATTTTATTATCCACAATCGTCTTCGGGTAATGACCATTACATCAACGGGACGGGGTATGTCGACGAAAACGGCTTTATGCCAGGTTACGGAAAGAAAAATATTTATGAGAGAAAAGAAATAATTTTAATTATCAGGTAGATTCCTATAATTTTCAGATGAAAGTCCTTTTGGAGGCGATGCAAAAACGATTTCTGTCTTCTGAAGAAACAAATTTGTTCTGTTGCAAAAGGGGCTGTTGGTAAAACGTGTTCATAAAAAGTGGTAATTTGATCACACCAATAAAAATTTCAAATAATGGAAATGGGATACATTTCTAGGAGATACTATTTTTGATACGTATATTTCCTCCCAGAGTTCTAAACAACAGTCCTCAGATGATTCGATTCTCAATTCATTGGAACAGCAGCGATACAGCAACATAGTACTAGTATGATATAAATTGATTTGAAATCCCTGAAAAAATCTGTGAAAAATAAAAAGGTTAGCTGCAAAATAACAATTATATTAAGCGAAAAA